GACGCTAGGATTACCCGTTTTCTATGAATGCGGTACAGGTTCTGTGTTAATTGTTTCTGCAGACCTTTTGTTAAAGATGACGATGGCGACGTTTTATAACAATCAGTATTGTTTACTTACCGCAGTCTCTTTTAATTGTTTCTCATATTTTTAATGCCGTTAAATGAAAATGCACAAATACATTTAGACTTTTATTGATCAATTAGATTCACCTTATAAAAAGTAGTACGATACAATAAATCAATTATATCATCGTTACATTCTAAATCTTTATTAAACATATCTACAAATTCCTTAAGGGATAAATTATTAAACTTAAAAACTAAATACATTAAACAGTACTGTCCACAATAAGTTGATAAAGGATGCTGGAGCGGTCGCGAATTAAACTCTAGTTTCCCGGAATGTTTTTTTCAAAAATTTTAAATGTAATCCATCAGGTGGACGTCCGAATGAATCGAAATATTCTCCATTTCCATGTTTATCAATGTAAACGGCATTCCAGTGTTGCCCTGAACCTGTTGAGACATCTGTATTTACAATTGCGGCAAATGGTCGACGTACACTTGCTCGTATGAGCTCATCTGATGCGAAAACAGCACGCGCAGCCTTCTTCTGAATCAGATTCAATGCTCCTTGAAGTTCTAGGGTATTCATTGGTGGAACCAATTTGAGCCCATTCATGTAATATTAATGCATTTTCTTGAGCACACATAAGTGTGTTCTCTGCGTGATTGAGACACCTAACTCCTCTATGACTTTTCTTTAACTTCTTTACTGAAGGACAGCCGACATCTTCTAAGTTAATTACAAACCTGTCGAGAAAATTTAACAAATATTGCTTCTCCACCCCCTTCACGTAAATTCTATTGAACGGCTGAAGTAACGTGCGTAGTTCTTCTTCAAAGTCCTCGTATCTAATGTACCCGGAACCCCATTTCATGCCATGATTAACAGTCTTCCAAGAATTTGATTTCTTTTTTCATCGATGAGGTTACAGTATAATTGACGGGCGGATTCATCAGTAGAGTTGTGCAACTAGGTCCCTCCGACGAAACGATAGATATTTCTTTCGGAATGAATTCCTTTAAGCTTCCGCGGAATCCTTGAAAATCAACGTAGGCATCCATTATAATTTTATCCTGTCATGCGCAGTAGCTTTTTTTCCAACACTGGGGAAATGATGTAATCAAGTTGATGAATGCGTCTTTGGAAACGTACGGTATCCCTGGGCCTGGCGTACTGCATCCAAGGTCCTTTTCTAGCTTGATGGTGGGCATAAGGCCACGCAACTATATGATGTACGCTATTCCGCGACTCGTCAAAAGAAACTTTTTTAAATGTTGAAGTCTGCGATGACATTTCGGTGTTTATCAATTTCAATAACGTTATCAAACTCGGCGTACACAAGACAATTCACTGTCTCAGTCAATGCGTCTTGAAAACCAACTTCGATACGAAGAGAACCGTTCTTTACCAAGTTCCAATGAGTGGTGGAGTTGGCGGATAAATCCGGCGTTATATCGAAAGTCATTAAGCAGTACCCGTGGGGGTAATCCAATCGCGATACGTTATTTCCTTCGTTCAAAAAATGTATTCCAGTTCCAGAAAATAAAGTGTGGTAGGCCCTTACGTATAATCCTTCTTGAGTGAAATCTGGTTGTAACGGTTTTGATGGAATTTGCTGCCCATCAATGTATGTACGTCGGTTCACTAGCATCATCTTCAGACTCACAACTTACTTCTGAATCGCTTCCTTCTTCAGGATGTGTCATAATGTATTGGTCCTCAACGTCACTGTAGTCTGACAAAGGTTCTTCATCATCTTGTAGTTGTGAATATTCGCTATCAGGAACTTCCTGTTCTTCGTCACTCAACTCCTGAAGCATTCGTAATATGTTTAACCCACGGCTGCCTGCCATATTACACACACAGAAATGTAAAAACTAAATACACACGCAAAAGTCCAAAAAAAAGTACAAAAATAAGTACAACACGAAAAATAACAACGATACCCGCAGGACGGGGATTCGCCATAAATGCGCAACTTTTCAGTCTGAAACAACTGAACGAACTGCTATACTAGGAAATCGGTCGTACCTGTCCTGAATGACAATTAGATATGGCCGCGAGCCCCTCCCGCAACATACTAAGAAGTTCTGTAGCATTTACGTCTCAAGCGGGGATTCCCCGCCTACGCGGGTACTCTGGTGTTAAATATTGTATGCAATGGCTTTACTAGATATTCTCGACAAGCCTTAAAAATATATGGTGGAATTCCATCGGGTCCACAAGACTTTTTTGGCTTAAGACGCTTGATCGCTAATTCTATATCACAAATCGTGATTTCATTAATGTGTAGTGCACTGTCAATAAAGGTTTCCTGTGAACTGTCAATATTTAAATTATACCCCGCAGAACAATCAGAATATATGGATTTAAAATAGTCCGCAAAACAATTGGCAATATCCTGAGACTTATAATATGTAATGTTATTGTATGACATGGATAATTCAGTTGATCTTCCGTGACGCCTCATATTGCCAATGAAATTCCAGAACCTATTACAGTTATCAGCAATATCCGATTCAATTGATCTGATATATTGTAGATAGGCATTTTGAATTTCATTTTTTATGTTCGATCTTAAATTCAGATATTTAATTAACCAGTATTCAGATAAATGTCGTTTTTTCCTGAATTTGTCTTTAAGTTTTAGATTTACGATTATGGAATGAGTAAACCAAACTGGATATTGTCGCCGAAATAATTTAGTTTTAGGTACACAATCGCTAATGATTGAATTAAACTTCTGGTAAAACAAATCCACGGGATCATTAACTGCATCTACCAAATGTAAATCATCCCAAGCGCAGTTGCGTATTAAATTATGCATTTTCAAGAAATCAGCTCTTTTATAATTGAATCGAGGAATTGAATTATTTTCTTTTGCTGTGGATTGTTTCACCAACTTTACTGTTAGTAACAATGGTGGATGATGACTATCTACTGGAACTAAAGCGTCAGACTCCTCTTCAATCCGAATAGCAGACATATCCATGTTAGAAATAACAAGATCAAGCGTTCTGTGATTACAGTTTTGAATATTATTAATCAGCTTAAAGTCAAGTAAATTTAAAAACTTATTAAGTTCCCTAGCTTTATTTGAACCGCGCTGAAGATCATAATCACAATCTGAAATTTCAGGTATATTAAAATCACCAACTATTATACTAGTATATCTATTAAATATATCAATATGCTTTTCTGTATCATCAAAAAAATTTAAGTATAAGTCTAAATTTTCACCAGGAGGTATATACACATTACATATAAAATACTTTTTTCCATGATATACAACTTTAACCCACAACCCTTCAACTCCATTCATAAAACAATTTAAATTTTCTGACAAAAATGCTGCTTTAACAGCGATTAATACCCCACCACCTCGCAAATGATTAACCCTATCCTTCCTATACACAATATATCTACTATCAAACAGTTCATTACTGAAAATACTGTCATTAAGCCACGTTTCACTCAAACATATAATATCATAGTTACACATTAACACATTCACAAGTAAAGAACGTACCTTAGTAGGCCATTCTGTGGGGAATTAAAAAAGCATTTGCTCTACAAAAGGTGGAGTAAAAGCAGTTTTCACATATATTGTTAAGGTATCAAGGACTAATAAAAATCCAAGTTTTCGACCTTGAGAGTCAAAGGCGCTAGCCGCCATCTTGAATTGAAGGGGCCCAAATATGTTTTTTTCTTAATAACGTCTTAACAGTTGACTGGTTGACAAAAGTGTCTATGGGAAGGATATAAAAAACAAAATTATCTACATTTCTTACAATCATGTTTATTATCTCAGTCTAATAGGTAAAAAGTTACAAGCGGCAAAAGAAAATATTTTTATAAAAAAAGACATTAATTCGGTGTTTTCTTATAAATACGTGTAGGTAATCATTACTTTTTCATCCGTTTTGATGGCCCGGGTACGTTTATGTTGAAAACTTCATCGCCAGAATTTTCAATTCTTGTCTCATCCTCATTGTCATCACTGTCAGTGTTTCTGATTATGTAGGATTCCAATTCCGAAATTTCGGCACCAAACGTGACGTTTTCAGAATTTTGCTTCGGCACTCCGTGAATCTCCAGCATGTTTATTCGAGAATACTGTTCTACTTCCGTAAGTCGCAGCTTTAGTTCCGTATTTTCTTTCTTCAATACGACATTCTCGGCCTTCAGATCCTCGACAAGTTTTAGACATTCAACTAACTGTGCATTTTAACTCTGCAGAATTGCAGTATTACCATCCACTTTTTCGTGCACCATATTTAATGATACATTTAATTCATATTCAGAGGTCTTATTTTGCTGCTTGAGTTCTTTGATTTGATTGCTCAACTCCATCATTGCATCATAAATTTTGTCTAAGTTTGTTTGTACATTGCCATCCGCGTCTTTCAATTTAGCTAAGCAGGTATTACATCTCCACTCTAAATTTTGAGATTTCAGAACTTGTAAATCCTCGCGTTACACATTTGCACATTGGTAATAAGAATTACAAGAACTGCATTCTAACTTGTTAGAGTCTTGTCTCGTTACAGCTGTATCGCACACTGAACAAATACCCATTATTGCAACTAATTGCAGTGACGTGCCCGTAATTAGATAATAATTGAAAAGTTTATTCAGTAAAACCATTGAATAAAAACACTATTTTATTCAATGGTAAAACGCAATGAATATTGGTTTAGTTGGCCTTCTTTGATAAGTTAGAAAACCGCGATAATGCACCAAAAATTACTATCTTATTATTATAGTAATCACTAACCTTGTCACCTGGAGACTAATCTATTCCCATAAAACTAATGTACTTACAAGATCAAATTACATGCACATTTTCTTAGGCCAACTAACGATTCAATTAATTAAACTTATACTTTAATTTGCAGAGCACTTATACACCGGTGTTTACACTAACATGGGCAGAAGCTATAGGCAAACAATCCGCAGTCGCAGGCAATGGATCTTACTGTCACTGTAAGTTTATTTTAATTTTTAAAGTTTCGTTTTTCTAAATGTTGTTTATTTGTACAGAATGAAGTTCCGCCGTCCACTAGCCGTCAGCTTCAAGGAGAGCAATCTCAGCCCCTTGATCTCACTGTAAAAGTAAGTTCATTTTATTTTTTGGAAACTTGTTGATACTTTAATTGTAAATTTCATTACAGCATCCACCGCTGCCGTCTGCCCCTGGCGACTACAAACCCCAATCGCAGCCCCTCGACCTCTGTGTGAAAGTAAGTTTATTTTAATTTTAAAAGTTGTTTCATATTTTAATTGTACATTTCCTTACAGCATCCACCGCAACCTTCCGTTTCGTCTTCCCATGCAAAGCCTAAGCGAAAGCGTGCTGCTCCGTGTGTAAATAATGTAAGTTGAATAATAATTTGCGCAAGTTCTAAATGATAACGTCTTTACAGATTCTTAACCCTCAACCATCAACATCGGGACTACAACCAACCACACCTATAGTGCCCTGCGAAATTATGTCTGGCTAAACCCTTATAAGCCACGAAAAATAAAAATTGTTGCTTATTTTCGTGCGTTCGCCATGGAGGTTCTTAGTGACGCGATTGTACAGAATCTGGAAACTATGTACCGCGAGATCCGAGAAATCGACGTGACGGGGTGTTTAGTTTTCCTGGCGAACTTGAGTGCTTTAAACCCCATACTTACACCGAAAGGCTCAACATTGCGTAACTTGAGCGAGTTAGTGGTACTCCGGGAGAATATAGATCTAACAGAACTACCACCACGCACAGTGGAAACCAGCATAGTTCACAAAAAGATCATCTACCACGAACTGAGGGAGAGAGTTTATGCACTCTCTGAAGACATGTGTGGTTATATTAGGATGTGCGAAAGTACTATGAGTGGTGTAACGGACGCAATAAACGTCCTGAGCGAGCTGGACGTGTCCTCACCTACGGAGGAAGAATCGATGACCATTATGAACAACGTTTATCAGTTCACGGCGGTGATGAATATGTGGCCGGAGCTCAGTGGTTCACGCGTGGAGCACATAATTCACCTGTTCAATAAACTGTTTTAAATTAACCCTCATGTAAATAGTTTCTGTACATATTTAGTTTTAGTTTGTAAATACGTTCCGTGGATTAGGCCTACAGGGGGACACCACGTTAAAAAAAGCGCGCCTCAACTCTACCTCATGGGTGGTGTGGAAACGGGTTTGTATTGTATATTTTAAATTGTAATTTGCGCTTAATTTTCGATTGTAATGTTTTTTTGTTAATTGTTGAGTGTTGCACCATAATAAACATAATTAAAACTTGTTCATTTTCTAACTTTTATTTCAGAATAGGTAAAAGATGGACGCAATGAGTAAGAGAGAAATAGATGCAGTGAGTAAGAGAGAGATAGGAAAAATGTCAAATTTCCCGCCTTTGGCGGCCATTCTGTTTTCAATTAGAGTATAATTACCTGTGTGTAATTATTACATATGTGTAATTATCACATATGTGTAATTATTTGTACAGCAAATTAATAGACCCACGAATTAAATAATTAGAGGAAATTCCGAGAAATCAAACCGAAAATTAAATTAATTAAGCCGCGAATCAAATTAATTATACCGCGAATCAAATTAATTAAACAGAGATTCCGAGAAATCAAACCGCGAATTAAATTAATTAAACCGCGAATCAAATTAATTAAACAGAAATTCCGGGAAATCAAACCGCGAATTAAATTAATTAAACAGAAATTCCGGGAAATCAACACGCGAATTAAATTAATTAGATCAATCAAACCGCAAATTAATTTAATCCGACAGTAATCAATTTAATTGATGACGTCACCAATCAAATCAAACGTCAATAAAGACCAAAATCGTACCAGTTTTAATTAATTAAGTCAAAATTCCAAGAAATTAATCAAATTTCCCAGAAATAATCTCCCAAAACACCCCCGCCCACGTTGGCGACCCCGCCAATCAATTTAATCGACCTTGATTGACCCCGCGAATAAAAAAGGAGTGGGGATAGAGGGTCGCTATTCTACTATTTAGGTTTAAATTTGCAGGATATTATAGAGGACAGGGATATGATAACGGTTCGAATATGAGAGGCGTTTACAAAGCAGGAGTGCAATCTAGAGTAAAAAATTTAAATTCCCGAGCATTTTATGTCCCGTGTAGTATCCACTCCCTGAATCTAATCGTCAACGATATGGCAAAAGCTTCTTTGGAAGCCGCTAATTTCTTTAATATGGTCCAAAAAATATATTTATTTTTTTCGGCATCTACTTTCCGATGGTCATACTTTTAAAACATGTCCAAGGACTTACTTTAAAACCATTGAGTGACACTAGATGGGAGAGTAGGATAGAAGCCTTAAAACCTTTAAGGTATCATTTATAGGAGGTGTGTACGATGCTTTGTTGAACATTTATGAAAACCAACAGATTGATAGTTTAGTAAGAGACGAAGCCTCGGGTTTATTGAATTGTATTAAACAATTTAAATTTTTGTGTTCGGTTATTTGGCATAAAATATTAAATTGTATAAATCCAATCAGCAAGCTTACCTATGCACACCAAAGATTTCGATATATCGGCTGCACTTAGTCTTTTAAAAAATTGCAAACAGTTTTTTGAGGATCTTCGATCGGATAAGTCATTCAATGAAATTCTTGTCGACGCAAGGGAATTAGCTGATGAAATTGACGTTGATGCTAACTTTGCATCAACAGCACCGCGCCATCGAGTAAGAAGAAAAAAAACAAATTTCTCATATGAAGCACGAGACGAACCTGTCGAAGATCCAAAAGAAAAATATAAAATAGATTTTTTTTATTTTACAATTGATAGAGCACGAAATGCACTTGACGCTAGATTTGAACAGCTTAGTCACCATAGTAGCTATTTTCAGTTTCTATATAAGATATACGACTTGCCCAAAGTAACGCTTTTGGAACACTGTAAAAATTTAGAAAGGATTTTAACTGATGGTGATTCTGTTGACATAAATGCAGTAGAATTAGCAGATGAAATATCTGCGGTATCTGCGCTTTTGACTAAAAACGAAAGCTTAATCTACGTGCTCAAGTTAATAACAATGTTAAATATTGCTCCAAATCTTAGCGTTGCCTTAAGAATTTTGTTGACTATACCAGTATCTGTAGCAAGTGGTGAGAAGAGTTTTTCTAAATTAAAGTTAATTAAAAACTTTTTACGTTCTAATACCACCCAAAATCGTCTTAATGGTTTAGCAATTTTGGCGATTGAACATGAAATTACCGACCAAATAAACCTAAAAGATATAATAAAAAAGTTTGCAGAACTAAAAGTGAGAAAAATAGTATATTAAGATACAAGTGTATAATCAAGTCTTTAAAGCACGCGCAACGAGTTTAAGGGCACGACGCAAAGCGGAGTGCCTTTAACGTTGCAAGTGCTTTAAAGATCAATTATACACGTGTATCTTATAGTATTTTTTATTATACCTGCAGTATAATTTAAAAATAGGAAATACAATGAAGTCATATTGACGTTATTCTCGAATACATGTCTAATTAAGTGGGCTGGGTGTTCGTAATTTCACGATTGTCATGGAAATGTCACTTGACGTTTGCTTATAAAAATCATCGTCTTTGTGAATTAAACGATTTCCGTTGAAAAAGATAATACACCGTCCATTAAATCGATTGTTGTAAAATCTAAACAAACGCTGGTAGGTGTAAAATCCAACTCCAGCAAAGCCTATTATAAAGAATATGAAAAGTTGTTTCCATGGATGAATAGGAAGTTACTTACGAATACATCTTAAATGAATCCATAATGCTAGCATATATGAAGGAAATGTCAAAGGTATTTAAATTACTACAACAGCATTATTAATATTAAATTAAATTCATTCAAAACTAAAGCAATGCTGCGATTAAAAAGTGGAACAGGTTTGGAAGCATACCCTAAATTACGCGCGTTTGTGAAAGCTTCAACCAAAGGATAGGTACAAAAGCCAAAGAAATGTTCTGCATTTACAGCAAGCGACCTAAGAGGAATTTTTATTTCGCCCAGATGACAGTTTCAAAAGTCATACTTGAAGTATCGTTACTTAGCAACTTTAAAGCACGTGTGTTTTAAAGGCCCTTTTTCGCACGCATTTGAGTGTTTAAAACGGACATTGTGATTCAGGTATAATAAAAAATGTTTTTTGTAATGCCTATCACTATCAGTTCATTTTTGCTCTTTCCTGGTTTAGATAATGAATGGTACTTATGTTAGGTTCTTATGCGAAGTAAGTTACCTTCGTTAGATTATACTATTAAGTAATAGATATATTTAAATTGTAATAACTTTCTATTTTGTAATAGTTAAGTGTAGTATTGTTAAATAAAAAATAAAACCAGTATATGTGTACCTAAAGGGCGGCAATTGCCTTTTTTGTCCGGGGCGGCGCTAACCTTAGAGCGGGCGCTGATAAGAATAAGACAAGGATCAAATTCTAAAGTGTTAGCCCAAGAAGCGGTAAATCGCTTCCTCTCCGCCGTAAATGTGGTACATCAAAAATTAGACTTTCTAAACGATTATTCGATGTACTGGCACTACGAAGACTTTGCGGGTGAAGTAGCGGATGCTCTTTGCTTGGACGAGCTGTGCGATGAAGGAAATATTTTATCAGGAGGAAAATTGTTCTATCAAAATCTTAAGTTATTAAAAAAGTTACTTTCTGGTCAATGTTTAACAGATTTTTCGTTTTTGTCAGAAATTGTAAATATTTACCCTCATCATAAAGTTGTTCCAATATCCCTTTATTTGCGCAATGGATATTAAATAAAGATAAGTCAAAGTTACCCGATCGCATGACTTTGCCTGTAAATTCGTTATATTCGTAGAATTTGTTATTCCCTATAAAGTACAGGTGGCCATTAATATATTATCAAATATTGATGTTATTTTTTGGGGTATATCCGGAAATATTGAATGTGCTTTAGGCTGTTGTAGACAATCATCCAATTCAATCAATTGGTTTTGACCGTGATAAATCCACGTGCGCCCATTATATGTGTGAACAGCTGCGTTAATAAGTTCACCTTTGGGAATAGAAAAACGATTGATATCGTAATTATAAGTAATTTTACAACCTTTCAGGTATGTAACTATTTCAATTGGAGGGTTTAAGTCTCCAAAACTATCATAGTAAACCGCTTTCTCGCCGCGTTTCTTGAATGCAACCCAATGAGTACCTCTTCCCTTGTTATCATCCAGGTTCACAACAGCACATTCGTTAAAATGGGGCTTTTGCGGTAATGTGTTGCGCATGAATACTCCTCTGAAGAACATTTTTAGCCTATTTATGCAGATCTAAATCGGTTAATGCTCGCCGCGGCAAGTTTAATCGTTTTTTGGAAAAGGCTTCAAATATAAGGCGTAACCCTTCCTATATGGCTTAAGGTATAGTGCTCCACCGCTTTTCTTGCCTAACGCTACAGCCTCCATGGTGGCGTTATGACATTGACTCTCTTCCAACTGCTTCTTAGCTGCAGATGCTTCGTTAACCGCTTTGGCTATACCACTTGCTCCACCGGCTAGCGCGCCAGCAGCCGAAAGACCCGCAAATAGTGGTATGAGGAAAGGAAGAAAGCCGCCAATTTTAGGTATAGGAATAACTCTTGGCACTCGCACCTTCTTTTTACCACCCGCAACTTTAACCGCTTTTTTTGCCGCGGCCAAACTAACATCGATAAGTTTCTTTATGCCCGCATCCTTGACATGCCTTATTGAATTTCGGGCATGTGATAGAACTCCTCCCCTAAATGGGCAACTCTTCTGCTTCATTTTTCTTTCTCTTTTCTCGACGTCCTTGAATTTACCGTATGCGATATCGTGCTGTTTACACGCAGCATCCAACGGATTTATTCCAGAATCACCGCGAGCTAAACGCTGTTGCAACTTTGTTCCGGGTCCGCAGTACTGATATCCTGGGATATGAAGTTCTACCGGTAGTTTGTTTATTAAAGTGTTGATAAACCCCTTTCCTACTCGGCGAGTGGCCATGAACTGGTAGTATAATTCGAACTAGCGACTAATAATGATGTTTATAAAGCAGCCGCATTTTTTAAATGTAGAAAATCATGACTTTTAAAATCAGAAGTGGTGGGGAAGCATGGTCCTCTATTTCCAAGTTCGATTAGAGCGATCATCTGTGGCCCCTTCGGGATCAGGAAAGACAAATGTAATGATCAGTTTACTGGAAG